TGTGGAGTTCGGCGATAGTGCACTTGTGTGTAGCCGCTAGGTGGTTCATCCATCCCTGCGCTCCTCCAATCAGCTGCAGATATATTGCCTTTAACATGTCGTCCGCCGGGACCATGCGGCATGATGCTTCCGTGAGGAAACGTTGCCACCATGACAAGGCGTCCGACTTGTTGTAGTCGTCGAACTTGCTGATGTCGAAGTGCGGCATCTTGAACGTCTTTGTAGCGGCTTCCGGTCTCGTCTGTAGCTTGGTGAGGTCCGTCTTGATGACGCCCACCGTGCTGCTGATCGAGTCTGGTCCAGTGAACGTACTTATATCGCCGATGATGGTGACGACGTGATCGATGCGCTCGTTGAGTTGCTTCGTCACGTCTGTCGTGCAGCCTGGTGCTGCTGAGGCGTTAGCCTCTATGCTGTTGACGCGTGTGACAGTGGAATTCAACAGTTGATGCTGTTGCTGCTGCTGCATTGCCTCTGTGCGGATAGCAGTGGTTAACGTAGTCATATCATTCTTGTATGTTTGTCGCTGCGTTACGTCCGCGCGCAGATGTGACTGCAGCAATGTATTATTCCACATAATACTCTCATCATGCCCAACAGCAAGTTAGCCAGGTTACTTCACTCTGCCTCTGCCGGTGTCGGGTCTGCCTGCGCTTCTGTAGGCACAAAGATCATGTCTTGGAGTACCGTCGTCCACAAATGCTCACAAGCAATCAAGGACTCCGTGCTGCTGGCATTCCGTCTGTCTCGTGTCGCTGCGTCAGTCTCAGTCGTTCGCTGAGCTTCGGCTGCCGCTTCATTGGCTAGCCGCTGACGTTCTGCCTCTGCTATCTCCTTCCGGGTCTCGACGGCAGCTACGGCTTCTGAAAATGCCAGTAGCCGCCCACGATAATCAGCCGCAGGCTCATTGGCTCCTCGGACTGGGTATGTGGGATGATCTCCTCTGGCGTCTTGTACCGTCAATGCCATACTTGATGCTGCTGGAGTTGTCCGTCTGCTGAGTTTCTTCGGTCTTGGAGGTACTGCAGGGCGGGCACGAACTGCGATTCTGGCACTGCGTCGTGGCAGTGCCCCGGTGTCCTGTTCCGTCGACATCAGTCTGAACTGATGCGGTACTTGAGAAGTCTCGGTAATCACAGAACACGGGGGTGTAGGGAGAGTGGGAACGGGGGTAGAACAATCAAGCAATATACATACAATCCCCTGTCCCACTGATGGACTGTAGACACCTAATCAAACGGAAAAAATAATTTCCCGTAAACCCTTCGAAAAATTCGTAATAAGGAATTTATAACGAATTAGTTAATGATAATTCACGAAAGAAATCCGAATGATAATCGGTAAACAATGTAAATACAGATCACTAATTAATAACGAATTTGAAAGGTATTATGATTAGGTCTCTTTGAGATCAATATGAGACCGGGAGTTCACTGTTTTAATAAGTGGACTGCCCGGTAGTTGCAATTTAAGGTCGGATACGGCTTAGTGTGCTAAAAAAAAATTCGGAAAATTTCAGAAAAAAATGCTCGAAAATTATAAAATGCGAATTTCGAGACTTCCCACCGTCAAAATCCGATTTTTAAAAGCCTAAACCTATTTCTGGAATTTCTCAAACAAGGAGAACGAAAAAAAAAATTCGCGAAAATTTCGGTCCCAACCCTAATTTCCGCGTTTAGGCGAAATTTCGGATTTACGGTCCCAAAACGTTCGGGTTTCCCCCAAGTTGATCTAAAACCAAAAGATTTTCATAACCCTAATTCCCATACTGAAAGACAACGAAAATCTCAATAGAAAACGAAATGTAGGATATACAACAGAATGCCGAAAACAAAATGCTGAATAGCATCAAAACCCGAATTTCAAACATGATACTGATTCAACCCTAATTACGAATACCTACTCAGAAATCCGAATCAAACAGAATGTTGGATTAGTATTTATCTCTCGGATCTCATTTAAACAGCATACCGTGTATAACAAAAATCCAAATTTTAAAGTCCGAATACTGGATTGAAACGGAAATGCCGAAGTAGTGAGAATACCGAAAAGAAAAAAAAGAAATTTTGCAACTTTGAACTTGATAATACTTCAGTGCCGATTTAGAAGATCAAACGTGATAACCTAATTCTAAAACGGTCTTACCTGGTGAGCAGATCCGTTTT